TACCAAGCAACACAATTCAATACTTATACTACACAATATAGAGAATGTTAGGTCAACATACCACCATTCAAACCACAACATCTCCAATCCATAGCCAATTCAACCAATTCAAGAACCCAGACTTGACTTCAAAATAGAAGAATTCATGTTTTTGATCGTCTTTGAAAACCATTGAAATTGAATACTTGAAGAAAGAGGGTTCAAGGATGAAGAACCATACCTTAATTGTTAAGAAAATCCCACTAAATTGGTGGAAAAAAACTTGGAAAATATGTCTTCTTCCTTGGAGCTTCAAAGTTTCATCAATGGAGATTTCTGGAGAGAAAGAATATAGAGGTTTTGTTTTGGACTTGAGGGTTTTATTTAAAGTATTAGGGTTTAAAACCTCCAATAACTAGTCCCCAAAATACCCTAAAGACCTATGCACTTGTAGGACCTTTTAACCAAGTCAAACTTAACTTAAATTTTGTAAAATCAACGTCGTGAAACAAGTTCGCAACGCGGAGCTGCTCCCACATGATCTTCAAAAATAAATTCCGATATAGTGGAGTCCGCGACATGTACCAAAATTTGGCCCTCTATGAACCAAGTCTGCGATGAGGACTAGGTCCTACTAAAAACAAATATTGCTACATTGGGCAGCTTGCTAGCCCAAGATTTTGGACCTCCTCAAGGACCGTTATGGCAGTCCTTCGGGAGTCATGCAAGGACGTTTTTGAAATCAAATACCTTCGTATACAAGTTTGTAACCTCCCACATTAATTTCAATCAAAACGAACACGTAAAAGATGCAAAGGCACACCTAAGCATACAAGCACATTTCAAGCAAAGTCTTTCGAATATCTTGGACGTTTGACCTCCAAACATCATCAAACTTTAGATAATGTCTCAAAACACTATTATAGACCATTTTAACACTTTAAAACCTTATGACACACGTTTTAGGCTCTAGTTTCACCTAGTTCATTTCAGAGGTGTTACACTATGTGGGGGGAAGTTGCTCAAGATCGGCCAAATTTGACGACCAGAGTTGTTAGAGCAAAATTACATGACCTAACAGACCAAATATTTAAAAAAGGAAATTTTTCTTCCTACGGCAGCACATACTTTTGTGTTTGAATTCCAGAAGAGAGGACTACCACATATACACGTACTACTAATATTTAAAAAAGGTCATAAAATAAGATCAGCATATCAGTATGATCGATATATTTCAATAGAGATGCCTGCAAAGGATAATCAGCTAGAAATACATGAATTAGTTATCAGACATATGATTCACGTGCCTTGTGGTATAAAATGACAATCAAATCCATGTATGAAGGATGGACAATGTAAGTTTCACTATCCCCGAGCATTCAAGAACAAAACAATACAACGGAGGGATGGATAATCGATTTACCGAATAAGAAATGATAAAAGGACAAGTGAGGTTTGAGGTATAAAGATGAATAATCAGTGGGTTGTCCCTCATAACATGTACTTATTGAAGAGATATGATTGTCAAATTAATGTAGAGGTTTGCTCTAGTGTTAAAGCAATAAAGTACATGTACATGTATGTGTGTGTGTGTGTATGTGTGTGTGTGTGTGTGTGTGTGTGTGTGTGTGTGTGTATATATATATATATATATATATATATGTATAAGGCATTATAAATGTGTAGTTTACATAGAGTTACATGATGGTGAAAAGTTCATAGATGAAATGCGCAACTTTCAAGATGCATGTTGGGTGTCACCACCAGAAGCGATGTGGAGGATTTACGAGTTTACTCTAAGGGAAATGCAATCGGCTGTTATAAACCAAAAACTAAATCTACACGGCAAACAAACAGGTACTCCTAAACATATTCGCACATATATATAGTATAAATAAGAGACAGATTTCTCAACCAATGCCACTAATATTAATAAGAACCTTATTTTTTATAATGTAGTCTACTATTGGAAGAAGAAAAATCTTCAAAATATTGCAGGCTCCTAGTTTTTTCAACAAACTATGCTTGCTGAATATCTCGATGTGCTTGAATGACAGTGAAGTTTGCAATTATCTATATAGAGAACTCGCAAAACATTATGTTTGAAATTCCCAATCTAAAGTATGGACTAAAATAAAAATGCGCTGATCGGCAACATAAATATTGGTAAGTATTACAATTTTATGTGTTATTTAAGACTTGTGGTAAACTAACTAGGCTTTCAGAACACAGCTAATCCTAGAGAAGGTGAAAGGTATTACGAGAGATTATTATTGAATCATGTTCGAGGCCCGACGTTGTTTGAAGACTTCATCATTGTTAATGGGTTACATTGTCATACTTGCGAAGAAGCTTCCAAGAAAAGAGGCTTATTAGAATCAGATGATAGCATTTCAGAATGTTACACGAGGCTGTGATCTTTAGTATGCATGTAGCTCTTCACTGTCTATATGCGACAATTTTAGTTCATTGTAACCCAACAGATATGAGACGGCTATGGGAAACGTATTATAATGATATGTCAGAAGAATTTCAGAGGACCCACGACAAATCACCAGACGCAAAACTCCAGAGTACATTGCGAAGTTTAAATTCATACTTGGAGAGTATGAGTCAGAGTGTTGCAAAATTTGATATGCCATAAATCCAAAAACAATTAAATAAGTGTGACACTTATGAATGCCGAGAAATAATCGAATAAATGTCAGTGAAGGTGTGATGACATTCAAATATACTTCTTGAAAAGAAATATAAACGATCTTATGCAATATATTTACCCAACCATGAGTTGAAGTCGATCCAACAGAGAATATGGAATACTATTATCAATAGAAATATTTAAATCGATAGTCATTATATAAAAGTGGGGGGATTTAAATTGAAATAAAAATAAAAGAAATAAAAAGAGCTTTGAACTAAGTATTTATTTATATCCAAATTGATAAAAATAAGTAGGAATGTATTTTCCATAAGCTCATAACGCGGTAATCCTAGTAATAGCAATTTGTTTCGAGTGTATTACATAAAAAGTGATAAGTTAGGTATCTCTAATTCATTAGTCCGGCAACTACAGAATTTCACCCCGCACCTTGGTCCGGCTACGTTGTATAATTTACTAACCCTTACCATTACCTCATATTAGACATCATAAATGATGTATGTCTTAGTCATTACATTGCACAAACCGACACTAGCCTATTAGATAGTATCACGCTAAATCTATGTTGATAATTCTTTTCTTATTAACTACCTCCTTGGTTCGACAAGTAAAAACTAACCAAGTTCTAACGCGTGCACTCGTTAAAAAGACTTCTAAATGAAAGAATTATCAATGCCTGCAACAACACTATTCAAGAATTGCTTAGTTGTTGTTCATACTTTATTTATCATTTATGGTTCCCACAACCCTTGCTATGAAATTTAGGTACTCACTATCTCAAAAACACAAACAAAATTTATTAAAATAAATGTGATTGTGTTAATAATAAAAATTTAAGAACAATAGCTACAGTATATTTTATTGATCACGAATATAAATAAATAATAAAGAAGAAGAAAGAATAAACAACAATTCTTCGACCTTCACGGCGGCTCTATCAAAGTCCCAAATCTAAAAACAAACATATATTGTGGCTTGTTTCTTGATTCTTGGCCTCCTTCAAATAATTATTCCTCTCTACTATTTATATATGTAAGAAACCCTAAATAAAATAATTGAATCTAACTTAAGTTAGGAATCGAAAACCAAAAAGAATTGGATTCCTTCTTTTTTGTCACCGCGTATGTTGTCCGCGTGATAGTTGTAACAGCCTCAAATTATAGATTGTTCCGGTCATGCATCGATTGGCTAGTGATTTTTGAGATTACCAGGTGGCAGCTTAGTCCACCAACTTGCAGTTCGCAACTCGCAGAAATTGGCAGCATTATGCCCCCCCCCCCCCATATAAAAATATATATTATTTTATTCACTTTAATCCATTAAATTTTCTGCTTGATTTCCTTTTTCAATATTTAATTTTTAGTTTGTTTTAGCTTCAAATTCCTTTATTTTTTCACCAATTTAATCCTACAAAATAAGTACATAATTTAGCACAATCCATAAAATTTATGCTAGAAAAGGGCAAATATAAGTTATAAATATGAGGTAAATAATGGTAAAACATTAAAGCTCATCTAAAAAAATCATACTAGCAATGTCATCACTTTGATTAATACAAACAATTAGGCAATATACTCATTTTAAAATATCAAGTAGACTTCTCAATCATATGCAAGACATTCAACTAAACAACAAACCTCTAACCTCCTAACTCCAAGAAAGGACTTTGAACTCATCAAATTTATGTTTGCTCACCTACTTTCATCAACGAAAGATAATAAAATCATCTATCTATAATGAAACAAGCCTTAGAAGAAGAAATAGTCCATACACTCAATTCAAAAGACTAAATATAAATTAAAGACTTCATATCAAGAACAACTCTCAAACTCACAAATAAAATTCACATGTATGCACTGTTTTATTAAAAAAAACACTACTGCTATTATTTGTTTATAAAAAATGAAAAAAATATTGACTAGGTTTCGAAAAATGAATTAATCTTATTATTTAAGAAAAATAGACTTTTCAAATTACGGAGTCGCCACTTGATTTTGATAAAATAAAGAAAAATTTCAAAAGATTTAAAAACAGATAAAATCGATTGAAAAGGTTCAAAGTTCAATGTACATCCCGAGAAGGTGTTAGGCCCTCGGGATGCCCGCTAACTTGCGGTTGACCGGCGATTTGACTAAAATGACTTTAATATACATTTTTTATTTTTAACTTAGTAAGAAATCGTTTGATATATTCTTTAATTTTTAAATTTTTGTTTCCTTATTACTTCTAAAGGAAAATATTTAAAAGAAAACTTAAGGAAAATGGTGACAAAAATAAAACAAAAATAAGCAAATAAAGTGGTAAATTTTAAAATAGTGAAGATTGGCTACCCTTTAGGAGGTTATTAAAATTCTACCACACATTAATCAATTCAAGCAAATAATAAATAAAGAAGAGAAAAAAAATTGAAATTAGGCCTTATTGCCCAAATTCATTCCATTGGGCTTTAGCCCACCTGTCCTAGACTAATTCCAAATATGGACTTGGGCCCTTTCAACAAATTAAAAATCTTGCAAAAATATTTTGGCCCCTTGGGCCTGTTAAAAAATTGTTGAAGGGCCCTGGCCCATTCCTAAAAAAAAGGATCATGAAGGGTATACAAAAATGTATACATACTGTATACAGTATATATTTGACTCATTTAGGACCTCTTGAGCCCTGCACCTGTTCGAATACATATTTTCCGTTATTTTTCCCTGTATTTCCTCATTGCTCTACGTATTTGTACCTGCATCATTTTTAAAACTTACTTAACAAGTGTATATCGTTTCCCAATAATGTATACTAATTTATACGGGCTGCACCCTACGTCCACATTATTTTCCTAATCCCGAATTTTAATTAAAATAAGCGTCCCTGTAGGTTCCGCTGCCAATCATATTTTTTAAGCATATCTATAGTATATCGTCTATGTATATCAGTGTATAAAGGATGTATATCACCTGTTTTTCAACTTTCGAAAGTTGAAAGTCCTTTTTCAACAGATCATCTTCACTGGTACAAACCCATATTTCAAACTTGGATTTACTGTGCATTTTTTTACCTGTATATCAGTGTATACACTGTGTATATAGCTGGTATACAGCTTTTTGCAAATTTGATTTTTCAGCACCGAAGCTGCTGGTTTCGCAACCTGTACACCAGTTTTGAGGAATCTACGACTCGAGGAGGATGTTTTGAGCCTTCATGGCTCAGCCAGGAATGCAAGAATGTAATCCAAAGTGGACTCGAATCGATGTCACAAAAGAAAACAAAACAAAAAAAAATTAGCAAGGTTGAATGACAACATCTAAAAAGAAGAAAGAAAAAAAAGGACTTCACCTTCTTCGGGGCAGCGAGCTGGAGACGAAACGAGCAGGGGGGGGCAGCGAACACCCAAGCTTGACGTTAAACTCGGACATCTACGTATATCCTATATGTGTGTGTTCTATGCTATCAATATTTCTTGCACAAAATTTTCTAAGAAAAGGATGAAATTTTTCAAAAAAAAGAAGACCCTCCTCCTCCTTTTCTCTTCTCTCCTTCTTCTCCCAAATTTTCTCCCAACCAATCCTTTTCTTTCTCTCTTCTTACTTCTTTTCTCACAACCAAAAAAAAAAACAAACCCCTTCTCTCCTCCTCTTCCTCCTCTTTTATAACCCAAATTATGGCCAAAAAAGGGGGAAAATTGTTTAAAATTTGAATTTTGAATTTTGAATTTTAAAAGGGGTAAGGTGTGGAGGGAAAGGGAAAAAGGGAATTGGGTTTGGAATTAATTAAAATGGAATGGGCCATATAATTGGGCTTGGGTGTCTGAAAATAAAGGTGGGATAGGCTGCTGAAATCATTGGGTTTGGGAAAAATTGTTGGGCTTGAAAGGGAATAGAAAGGAATGGGCTGGAAGGGAATGAAAGTGGGCCTGGATTTTTAAAAAAAATTGAAAATGGCCCAAAATTGAATTGAAAATTTAAGATGGGTTAATTTAATGCATAGCCCAATTGAGTTAGGAGGATAAATCTGGCTAAACCTTAAATAAAATGAATTCGTATTAATTAATTAACGAGCTTCTTATTTAGTAATATAATTATTTAAATTGTAAAATAGTGATTCAAAATATAATTATAATTTAAGCTAAATTAGTTAAATAGAATACTTACTAAAATTTAAAATATTTTGAGAAATAATCGCAAAATATACAACTATATTATTTTATATTGTTTGGAAATTTAAGAAGCTCGAGAACTAATTTATACTGGGGAGGGTCGAAATTGGGTGTCAACAGTTGTCCCTCATTTTACTTGGGTTGATGCAAGCAACTCGAGAAAAATGAAATTGACCAAACCAATTTTGACCAACCCCATTCATCTTTAAGGGAAGGATTTGGTAAAAGGTTTAGGAATTATGGCCGAACCCTTGAAACGGGTTTCCTACATATCTCAGGCTATATGAGAATTTAGGTCACTTGTAGTTTGATAAGTTTGATTTAACGCACGATTTTTGAAAGAAATCAAAAGCCGCCTCGATACCAAATTATGAAGGTACCGAAATGCTCGAGAATAAAATTCGAGAGCGAATGTTGGAATACAACCGAGTTTTCAACATTGAATCCGCCTACATATCCTTAAACCTTTTAGGAATCAAGTTGTGTGTAGTTTGACTCGATCGATTGAAAAGGATATCTATTATGCTAGATAACATTCGGTTTTGGACAAGTGACAAATTAAACGAGTATGAAAAGGAGGCTTGACTATGTTTCCAAAGCTCTTGGTGCATTGTCACTCAGATTGGCAACTTGCTTACGACATATACTGAAATTTTTGGATGCGAGACTGAAACTGACAAAACTAAAGAAAAAACCCACATGCCTTTTAATAGGGGTGTGGTTTGATTGTGGTGGAAGTTGCTCCTCTGCTCGCGTCCTAAGAGTTTGACATTTTTCTTTGGGTTGTGTCCTAGTTCGCTGCTAAGAAAAAGTTCCACGTTGTGCTGCATCCCTTTTGATATCGTCCGCACCTGTGGTTTTGTTTGACAATTCATCCTCTTGGATGCTCTTGACAAAGATTGACATAAAAACTCGTAATCTTAAAAAAGGCAATCAGGATGGGACATAGTGTCTTTTTACCATGTCGACACTTCATTGTTCTCCTCAATATTCGACGTCGACTCGATCAGTCTGACGTACAGCAAATAAAGCTTACGTCTGACATTTGCAATATAATCTTCAATGTACTCTTCATTTGATGTTAAAATAAATAAATGATGATATGATGTTGGTATTTCTTTTGACGTCGTCTTTGATGTTTTTTTTGATGTCTACTCTTATCAAAATAAAAGAATGTAGTTGAGGCCAATGGATAAATATCCTTCTTGGGATAGACGATTTCCCTTTCTTTATCCGTGTATGTCTTCTTGAGGGGCATGAATATCTTCTCGCAATGCACAACTTTCGGCGAGGCATGAAATCCTCTCGCGATGTATAAATTTTGACAAGGCATGAAATCTTCTCGTCGTGCATAATAATAGACTCGCGATGCATGATTTCCACGATGCATGATTTTTTGTGATTCATGATTTTTAACGAGGTATAAAGTATGTCCAAATTTCAGCGAGACATGAAATCTTCTCACGATGCATAAATTTTGACGAGGTATGAAATCTTCTCATCGTGTATAATTATTGACTCGCGATGCATGATTTCCGTGATGCATGATTTTCCACAATGCATGATTTTCCGCAATGCATGATTTTCTGTGATGCATGATTTCCGCGATTCATGATTTTTCGCAATGCATGATTTCCGCAATGCATGATTTTTCGTAATGCATGATTTTCTTGATGCATGATTTTCCGCGATGCATGATTTTCCACAATTCATGATCTTCCGCAATGCTTGATTTTTCGCAATGCATGATTTTATGCGAGGTATAAAGTCTTCTCGCTATGTCCAAATTTGACGAGGCATGAAATCTTCTCGTCATGCATAATTATTGACTCGCGATGCATGATTTCTGCGAGGTATAAAGTCTTCTCACAATGTATAAATTTGACGAGGCATGAAATTTTCTCGTCATGCATAATTATTGACTCGATGCATGATTTCCGTGATGCATGATTTTATGCGAGGTATAAAGTCTTCTCGCTATGTCCAAATTTCAGCGAGGTATGTAATCTTCTCGTCGTGCATAATTATTGACTCACGATGCATGATTTCCGCGATGCATGATTTTCCGCAATGCCTATTTTTCCACGATGCATGATTTTCCGCGATGCATGATTTTCCGTGATGCATGATTTTCGTGATGCATGATTTTTGCGAGGTATAATGTCTTCTCGCTATGTCCAAATTTCAGCGAGGTATGAAATCTTCTCGCGATGCATAAATTTGACGAGGCATGAAATTTTCTCGTCATGCATAATTATTGACTCGCGATGCATGATTTTTAACGAGGCCTGGTTGGCTCGATAATGTTCCAACTGTAACGAGGTGGATGTCTCGATAATGTTCCAACTGTAACGAGGTGGATGGCTCAATAATGTTTCAATTGTAACGAGGTGGATGGCTCAATAATGTTCCACTATAACGAGGTGGATGGCTCGATAATGTTCCAACTGTAACGAGGTGGACGGCTCGATAATGTTCCAACTGTAACGAGGTAGACGGCTCGATAATATTCCAACTGTAACGAGGTGAACGGCTCGATAATGTTCCAACTGTAACGAGGTGGATGGCTCGATAATGTTCCACTGTAACGAGGTGGATGTCTCGATAATGTTCCAACTGTAACGAGGTGGATGGCTCGATAATGTTCCAACTGTAACGAGGTGGACAGCTCGATAATGTTCCAACTGTAACGAGGTGGACGGCTCGATAATATTCCTGCAAGATAAAAAGAAACTTGTTTAGAAATCACTTGAGGCAATATAAAGGAATAGAGATAAAATAAGGTGGAAGATTTTCTAGGTTTTGTTGAGGAGTCCACGATGGGTGCAAGTGACGCCTTTTGTCATTCTTGACAGCTTTATATAGCCATTTTTGTGACTTCAATGTTCCTGCATCCAAAGAAAAATTCTTAGTTTGAAAGACTGATTTGTGTTGGTTTTGTCTCCATGCTCCTTCTTGCAGTTGGCTTGCACGCTCGCCCATTCTTTATATGACATATTTGATGTATTCTTTGAGGACCCTCCTCAAAAATTTGTCCCAATCTAAAATATATAAGAACTCTCATAACTTGCTCTGTTAACTTTGAGGTTGCTCATTCTGGAATTTTGAGGCCCCTCCTCAAAATTTTGTCCCAGTTTACCTCAATAAGTAACAAATGACATTTGTGGAATTTTTTAGATCATCTCAAAAATTCTGTCCCAGATGCAAGCTAGATTGTCGTAATTTTTGAGATCCACCCTAGGCTAATCTCCGTAGAATTTTGGTCTTCTGTTTTGACTTTGTTAAAGAAGTCCAACTTCCAATGAATTTTTGAGATCCTCTCAAAATTCTGTCCCAGTTTCCATTATGAAGAGAAATCGAAATCTTCTGGGTATATGACCGAGCCGTTTTGGCGCCTACGTATCTCGTTGGAGCAGGAATCATGTCAAACGTAGTTTAGACCGTATAATTTTGGTTTTCTGTTTTGACTCGTTAAAGAAGTCCAACTTCCAATGCATTTTTGAGATCCTCTCAAAAATTCTGTCCCAGTTTCCATTATGAAGAGAAATGGAAATCTTACTGGGTATATGACCGAGCCGTTGTGGCGCCTACGTATCCCGTTGGATCAGGAATCAGGTCAAACGTAGTTCCCCTCTTGAGGATTAACCAAAATAGGAAGTTTTGATAAAGAAACGACCGAGGCCGACATAGGCCGCCTACGTATCTCATTCTTGAGAAATCAGGTCGAACGTAGTTCGGACCGTAGAATTTTGTGATACATTTTCAAAAGAAAGGTAACAAAACTTCATATGCAAAATTTTGGCCAATGTTGGGCATTCTTCTTTTCGACCTTTAATGATGAATATCTTCAAATGACTCAGTTCAGAGATGTCTTGTACTCATTCTTGAGCATCAAATATGTCATCCATTCAGGTGGTTTCCTCAATATTGATCAAGTTGTTGTTGATCATGTTTTGTATCCTGTGCTTTAGAGTTAAACAATTCTCTGTGTTATGTCCAACAGCTCCTGAATTATAAGCACATCTGTGGTCAGCTCTGTAAAATTTTCCCAAAGGATTGGCTGGTCTTCCTTCTATAGGATAGGGTATACCCATTGATTTCAACCTTTCATAAAGTTGAGTTTGAGATTCCCTTGATGGTGTAAATACTTTAGGGGCCTTCCTAAATTTTGGGTGAGGAAATTTTTTCTGGTTGGCATATGGTTTTGATATTCCCTTTGAGAAGCTGGCCTCATACAGGTAGCCGTGACCATACTCACCTCCTCCACTTTTCCTTTTGATTTATCCATATCACTAATTCTAGTAGATTTTTCATTAGATTGCAATGCGGTAAGTTTGGTGAGCTTTCCAGTCTTGAAACCGTCTTCCATAGCTTCTCCCACTTTGACAATCTCGACAAACTTTTGTCCCATCATACACAACATTCTTTCATAGTACTCAGGCTCTTGAGTACGAATGAACATTTCAGTGATCTCACGTTCAGACATTGGAGGTTGAACTCTTGCGGCCTCTTTTCTCCAATGAAGAGCGTATTCTCGATAATTTTCTGTTTCTGTTTGATCTTCAACAAGTAGTAGCGATCTGGGGCATCTTCTATGTTATTTCCAAATCTTTAAGTGAAATCCTTTGCGAGTGCATTCCAATTTTTCCATTGTTTCAGCTCTTGTGATGTAAGCCACTCTAGAGCTTCTCCACTTAGACTTCGATTGAAGAGACGCATCAATAATGCTTCATTTTTGCCAACTCCCACGAGTTGATCACAATAAACTTTCAGATGTGCTAGAGGATTTTCTGTTCCGTTAAAAGTAACAAACTTTGGCACTTTGAACCCTTCTGGGAGGTCGAGATTCGTATGGATGCATAAATCCTTATAGCTCAATCCATCGACTTCGAAAATATAGTGCAACTCCTTCATGACTTTCCTGATCTCTTCTTTCATATTCAGCTTGACTGCCTCTTCTTTTGACCTCCACTCTCTTGGAGGGTTGAAGGATGAAATTGGATTAGACACATCTTGCATTCTTTGCATTTCGACCCTCATTTCGGCAATCTGTTGCATCAACTGCATAATCAATTCATTTTTATCAGCTTCAGCGGGTTGAGCCACGACAACATCATTCATGTCAATCTCGTCATTGTTATCCCCCATTGTTGTCTTTGCAAATTTGATCGGGGGAGGAATCTTTATGGGCCTTAGACCTTGTGAAATACGGATGATCAACCAACACAGATCAGTTTTAAATACCTGACAAATGAAAAAAACTCAAAAGACCAATATGTTAGTGTCTGGAGGTGGTAAATAATACAAGATATCACATATAGGTGAAAACACATAAGAGTTGTTTTATCCGGAGATAAACTAGCTCACCAACATAGAGAAATGATTAAATAGACAGGAATTTGTCTACTTGACTTTGGGATTTAGTAAATAAAAATGTCGACTTGAGTCGAGACAAAATTGACGGTATCTTTCATTACCGTACTTTGATTTTTGATTGAGATGTAACTCTAATTTCCTTGTAAGAGTCGAAAAAGATAAAATTTCGCAAAATTCTTTTGATCTGAAAGAAAAAGTGAAGTTCAATATTTTTTTATTTTTTATTTTTTTTAGGAAACTAAAGACTCGAAGAGTATTTGGACGCACTTTTGATAGTGACTTGATATTTGTGCTTATGGGTATCTAAAAGTATTTGAAGAAGAGTGAGCTAGAACATCTCCAAATAAAACAACATATTCACATAAGCAGTTATAACACATAAACAAATATTGCGCGTTCTAAACAGATATGTGACCCTTTTGTGCCAAGGGTGGGCCTAGCTATTTGAGGGATGTATACGTTATTTGAAATATTTCATTGCCCCAACATTCAAATTTATACAAATAAAACTTAATGGGAATACATAAGGGTACGACCCTCGTCATCATTTTTCATCTTTTTTTTTTGCAATCTTCGGGTGTCAATGTCTTTGGATGGACCAGTAGCTTCTAAAGTTTTTTCGTTAACTTATACAAACTATAATATAATCCTTACCCTATGAGACAATGATTTTTTTCAAGCAACGTATACATCCTTCAAATTTAAACACATAAGTATGAACGTCCGTTTAGGCCATGGGCCGATTTGGACTCAAGGTGGTCTTCTAATGGGCCCAACACGCCTTGAGTATTGGGTCATCTTAGTTCAAATTCTCTTAAATTCGGAATTTGGCTCAGCTCTACGCTAGTTGACTAGGAGTGGCTTTGAAAGGACCGGGAATCCAAACGGACAATTCGGGCTGAAACTCGCGACAACCATTGGACGCCTAACAAACCAATAAATTGCCGCTAATTTCGAAAAAGGGTGAGTATAAAAAAGTCCGGTTGCGGTTCCGCAAACCGTCCTTTAATATACTATACATATATATTGAAAATATGCCATGAATGCAATGACAATTTATGAAAAATTTAATCATATTCAGTACAAACAATATTTTAACAATTAAAAGCGGTTAGTCAAATAGTCAAATTTTATGGTTAGAACTTAATTAATCCCCAGCAGAGTCGTCATTTCTGTTTTATTAAAAAAAAATACTACTACTATTATTTGTTTAAAAAAATGGAAAAATATTGACTAGGTTACGAAAAATCAATTAATCTTATTATTTAAGAAAAATCAACTTTTCGAATTACGGAGTCGCCACTTGATTTTGATAAAATCAAGAAAAATTTCAAAAGATTTAAAAACAGATAAAATCGATTGAAGAGGTTCGAAGTTCAATGTACATCCCGAGAAGGTGTTAGGCCCTCGGGATGCCCGCTAACTTGCGGTTGACCGGCGATTTGACTAAAATGACTTTAATATACATTTTTTATTTTTAACTTAGTAAGAAATCGTTTGATATATTCTTTAATTTTTAAATTTTTGTTTCCTTATTACTTCTAAAGGAAAATATTTAAAAGAAAACTTAAGGAAAATGGTGACAAAAATAAGACAAAAATAAGCAAATAAAGTGGTAAATTTTAAAATGTGAAGATTGGCTACACTTTAGGAGGTTATTAAAATTCTACCACACATTAATCAATTCAAGCAAATAATAAATAAAGAGGAGAAAAAATTTGAAATTAGGCCTTATTGCCCAAATTCATTCCATTGGGCTTTAGCCCACCTGTCCTAGACTAATTCCAAATATGGACTTGGGCCCTTTCAACAAATTAAAAATCCTGCAAAAACATTTTGGCCCCTTGGGCCTGTTAAAAAATTGCTGAAGGGCCCTGGCCCATTCCTGAAAAAAAGGATCATGAAGGGTATACACAAAGGTATACATACTGTATACAGTATATATTTGACCCATTTAGGACCTCTTGAGCCCTGCACCTATTCGAATACATATTTTCCGTTATTTTTCCCTGTATTTCCGCATTGCTCTGCGTATTTGTACCTGCATCATTTTTAAAACTTACTTAACAAGTGTATATCGTTGCCCAATAATGTATACTAATGTATACGGGCTGCACCCTACGTCCGCATTATTTTCCTAATGCCTAATTTTAATTAAAATAAGCGTCCCTGTACGTTACTCTGCCAATCATATTTTTAAAGCATATCTATAGTATATCGTCTATGTATATCAGTGTATACATTATGTATATCAGCCTGTTTTTCAACTTTCGAAAGTTGAAAGTACTTTTTCAACAGATCATCTTCACTGCTACAAACCCATATTTCAAACTTGGATTTACTGTGCATTTTTTACCTGTATATCAGTGTATACACTGTGTATATAGCTGATATACAGCTTTCTGCAAATTTGATTTTTCAGCACCGAAGCTGCTGGTTTCGCAACCTGTACACCAGTTTTGAGGAATCTACGGCTCGAGGAGGGTGTTTTGAGCCTTTATGGCTCAGCGAGGAATGCAAAAATGAAATCCAAAGTGGACTCGAATCGATGCCACACAAGAAAACAAAACAAAAAAAAATTAGCAAGGTTGAATGACAACATCTAAAAAGAAGAAAGAAAAAAAAGGATTTCACCTTCTTCGGGGCAGCGAGCTGGAGACGAAACGAGCATGGGGGGGGAGGGGGGGGCAGCGAACACCCAAGCTTGACGTTAAACTCAGACATCTACGTATATCCTATATGTGTGTGCTTTATGCTATCAATATTTTTTGCACAAAATTTTCTGAGAAAAGGATGAAATTTTTCAAAAAAAAAAGAAGACCCCCCTCCTCCTCTTCTCTTCTCTCCTACTTCTCCCAAATTTTCTCCCAACCAATCCCTTTCTTTCTCTCTTCTTTCTTCTTTTCTCCCAACCAAAAAAAAACCAAAAAACCCCCCTTCTCTCCTCCTCTTCCTCCTCTTTTATAAGCCAAATTATGGCCAAAAGAGGGAAAATTGTTTAAAATTTGAATTTTTGAATTTTGAATTTTAAAAGGGGTAAGGTGTGGAGGAAAAGGGAAAAAGGGAATTGGGTTGGGAATTAATTAGGGAAATTTTTCAAAATGTCAATATTTTAGCATTTAAGAGGACTCATTAGCAACAATTTCAATATTTAGTAAAAATGTCATTTTAGTTTGTTATGTATCTTATTTATGTTTTTATTATTTATTTTTATTTAAAGAATATAATTATTTAATAACAAAAAGGAGAAAATTAAGGGGGGGAATATTTCAAAAAAAAGGCAAGCATCCTTAATTTTCTCATCAGTTACATTTTCAAATAAAATTTAAATTTTGTTTTTTTTTCTCCAGAATTTTTATCTTTTTAAAATTATATTCATTCCACAATATATTCTATTTATATTTATTATAGTTTTTTATTAGTTTGTATTCATTCCAATAGGTATGCCGATTTTATCTATATAGTCATTTAAGAAATATATTTGTATTTTCATATATTTTTTCCCTATATAGTTATTTTTTTCTTCAAAAATCCTGTATGTATTCATTTCAATATGTATTTTATTTGTATTTCTATTTATTCTAGTTTTTATTTAGAATTTTGTATAATAATATATAAAATGCAAAAAATTAGTATGATGAAAAAGTGAATGAAATATAAAACTGAAAAGAAATAATTGAATATTTGGTGTACTCATTCTTAAATAAAATACATAACTAGTTAACATACCTTTAGAATAAATATAAAAATGTCAAATTCAGTTGACATACCTTTATTAGTTTGTATTCATTCCAATATATATGTCAAATAAAATGTAGCTATTTAAGAAATATATTTGTATTCGTATATATTTTTCACAGTGTATTTATTTTTCTTTTCAAAATCTTGTTTCCTTTTCTAAGTCGTATTTATTCCAATATGTCTATTATTTGTATTTGTATTCGAATACAAATAAACTAATAGAAAGTTGTTCTTCTTATAAATAAAATACATAACTAGTTGACATACATTTGGATGAATACAAAATAGGGACAAATACAAGATTCATAAACCATGCAACATGAAACTTTTAGTAAATACAAATATTGATAGTATATATAGTGATTTGAATACAAATTAAGAAAGCATACCAAATTCTAAAAAATAACTATAAATACAAAACAAACTAATAGAAAATTGTTCGAAAACTATCTGATCTTCGTCGTCTTTTTCAAGATCCTCACAAGTAGACAAAGATTCTACAGCAGCGGATCATACATTATACACTATTTGTTAAGTAATAAATAAATTAAAGGATGAAAAATCACCAGAAATTGGTTGATTAAGATGAATACCTCCAGTAAGCCTCTTGGATTCAGCCATTGGATAGTAAATCATAACGGAAATTGAAAAATACAAACAACATTTTTTAAGATTTAAACAAAAATAAAATTAGAAAAAAATCTGAAAATAGGATAGAGATTAGAGATACCTTAATCAAAGGGATTCTTGTTGATTTAATTTTGGATTAAAAAAACAACCAAAATATATGGCAAAAAAAATATTTGCAACTTGAATGTTGGAGGAAAATCAGAAAAGATAATCACGAGAGAGAGAAAAAATTAAATGGGAGAGAGAATTAACAATTTGAAAAGATAAATATGAGTGAAAATGATTTTTTTTAATAAAAAGGATATATAGAATTAATTGAAAAAGAGAGATAAAATAGGAAGAAAATTGGGACACATAAATTTTTTAAAATAATGACATTTTTGACATTATTGCTAATATTTATAAAGTATGAATATTTTTACTAAATATGTTATTTATTTTGACTAGTTTACTAATTTTCCCTTAATTAAAACGGAATGGGCCATATAATTGGGCCTGAGTGTCTGAAAATAAAGGTGGGATGGGCTGCTGAAATCTTTGGGTTTGGAAAAAGTTGTTGGGCTGGAAAGGGAATAGAAAGGAATGGGCTGGAAGGGAATGAAAGTGGGCCTGGATTTAAAATTTTTTTTGAAAATGGCCCAAAATTGAATTGAAAATTTAAGATGGGTTAATTTAATGCATAGCCAAATTGAGTTAGGAGGATAAATCTGGCTAAACTTTAAATAAAACGAATTCGTATTAATTAATTAACGAGCTTCTTATTTAGTAATATAATTATTTAAATTGTAAAATAGTGATTCAAAATATAATCATAATTTAAGCTAAATTAGTTAAATAGAATACTTACTAAAATTTAAAATATTTTGAGAAATAATCGAAAAAATATACCAATTATATTATTTTATATTGTGTGGAAATTTAAGAAGCTCGAGAACTAATTTATACTGGGAGGGTCGAAATTGGGTGTCAACATGCACAAATAATCATAAGCTTGCCCGTTATGTACATCTCTAGTAATTAAGCATGATTGAATAGAATCAAATAGGACTTTAACAAATTGTAATGTGGGCTACATCACGGATAGAAAAACTATATAATAGTGACTTACATTTCCTTAAGCACTTGTCAATTTTTAGACTTCATCTTCTCTTTATTGTTAGTTCTCTCTTCAACAATTATTTCACAAGTAATTTTCATCTTCTCAAGAATGTTTAAATTATTATTCTATTTTTTCTCTTTTTTTTTGGGTTTTTCTTCATAATAGTCACCCTCAACTTACGTATTTTACATGTATTAAGGTGCACAGTGTCCTTGGAAGGACCAGGGCCATCATCAAGGTAACTTTTTTTCTTTTTTTCTTTTTTATGTCACATTTCTTTTTTTTCATGTCACGTTCTTTAATAGAGGAATTTTAAGAACTTTGTAGCTATCAATGATTACTTTTTCACTCATTCATCCTTTTTTTTCTCAAAATTGATAATTATAATAAGTTTATCCTATGATGCTCAAAGAAGCAAGGTGCAAAAAATATGGATTGAACAAAATAGTTTAAGGCAAAATATGGCTACCAATAAAAGGCTACAGGCTCAAAAGGGATAACCAATGATAAAATAGCTGACAAGGGCTCAAATTTAAAAGACAAATCAACAAAAGCCTATTATCATCTCCTAAACAAAGCAACACTTTTTTATTTTGCTTCAATAACATGCAGGGTAAGTTCTAGACTAAGATGCAAAACATGGAATAAACAAAATCTCACCACACGTGGCACAACTATCAATCAATATGGATCAATTCTACTTCTAAGAGAGACAGTGTCATAACAAACTACAAAATAAATAAGTTATATACAAAGTAACAACCATGAACCTAGATGTCAAAAGGTTTGCAATTTCACTAGCAATCAAGCATTCGCAAGAAGCATTACTTAAAATTACGCTCAAATAGTAAGTATCACATAACTCAAAAAGTCTTTCTTTTTTTTCCAAAAAAATTATAATTAAAAAATAAAATTTATTCCAAAAATAATAAATTAAAGACACTTGGTTCAAAGGGACTATCCTCAGGAAAAGAACCAAAAACAAAAGCCAAGGAACTCATCCTAAAAAAAAGACTCAATAAAACAATAAAAACTAGGAATTCAATCCTCCACCCCACTCTTAAAAAGATTTTATGTCCCCAAAACATTAAATTAAATATAAAACAAGGGTTACGAAAACTTCCTGAGTCCTTAAGGCCTAGCTAGTACCATGTTCTCAAAATTTATTTCAAAGGTCGTCACACCATACTTAAGCTCAAATATGCTCCTTTGTCTTTTTTTGTACTTACTCTTCCCCTTATCTGAAAAACAAGAAAAAAAAGAAGAAAAAAAGTGATACTAATTATAAAAAAAGAACAAAAAAGTTACACTACTAGTTGGGTTGCCTCCCAATAAGCGCTTGATTTAACGTTGCGGCACGACATAATCAATTTTATTATTTTTCTTTCCACTTTGAAGATATGAATTGCACCCCAAAATTTGAATAAATTTTTCTATTACGCTCAAGGGGTTGTTCCGATGTTGGAACAATAAATTCAAGAATACAGACACAATTTTCCTCGTCCGTACAGTCTTCTATAGGCTCAGATGACTCAATGAATTTCTCATCATCTAAACATAATGTGGAAAAGTGTTTGGAATGAGGTCCAATGCACCCTAAATCATGAATTTTATTATTATTTACACCCTCATATTTACACATACTAGCATTTTAAAAATAATATTATCTACTTTTTTGCATCATTCTAGTTCACTCTTCTCAACACGGATAACATCATAAAAGTATAATCAGGCAATTAGCTCTCACCTTTTAGTTCTTCAAGTTGATTTATAAGTATTTTTTCTTCCTTACACATATTATTTTCAAATTGTTGGGTGTCATATGATTTAATCTTTGCACTCAACTCAATGTCTAAATAATAGAGATCAAATTCAAAGGCGTATTCACCGAGGCTCCTACAAATTGATTTAATGGAAAGTGTTAACGAATCTTCCATGTCCCCATACAACTTATCTAGTTGAGAAAAAAATTATACCCTATAAGAACACATAAAATTAGTTAGGCAAGAATTGCAAGGATACTCATCCCTACATACTTTTTCAGATGACATCTCAAGAAGAATAGATGAAATATGATGATGATGATGATGATGATGATGATAATAATAATAATAATAATAATAATAATTATAATTATAATAATAATAATAATAAAATAATTGAAAAATAATCGTAAGAGACTAAAAAAACTACAAGTTAAAATAAATACTAAAGACAATTTCTAAGCCATATTCCCCGGTAGCGGTACCATTCTTGATAATGTTCAAATATACTTCTTGAAAAGAAATATAAACGATCATATGCAATATATTTACCCAACTATGAGTTCGAGTCGATCCTACAAAGAATTTGGAAGAATATTATTAATAGCAAATATTTAACTATAGTCGTTATACAAAAATGGGGGAATTTAAATTGAAATAAAAATAAAAGCAATAAAATAGATTTGAACTAAGTATTTGTTTATATCCAAATTAATAAAAATAACTAGGAATATGTTTCTCATAAGCCCATAATGTGATAATCCTAGTAATAGCAATTCTTTCCTAGTGTATTACATGCAAAGTGATAAGTTATG